TTTTTTTTTCTTTTTTTTTTAGGTCTAGGTCAGATGAACAATTCAAGTTTGAAGTAAATGAAATTTCGTTCAACAACGACGGTGACCTATTTTTCCTGACCAGTGGTCAAGGTTGCATCCACATTCTCAGGTAGATCTCATGATAAATTTAATAACAGACTATTAGTGATTGTGTTTCAATACTTAACAATCGAGTGATACACTGATGTAGTGCAATGCTGTTAATAAGGAGATATTCTGTGGCAACAAATCTGTGACTATGTGTGTGTTTGTGCAACTGTGTGTGGGTGCATGCGTGCATGCATGGGTGCGTGCCTGCCTGCATGCATGCATGGGTAAGTGGGAGCGCGATGCTAAGGAATGTCGTGAATTGTGTTGGATGACATACGGATGACATAGACTCTCGTCATTGCAGCTACCCTAGCCTGAAGCCTCAGCACGTTCTCAACGCTCACCCGGCCAACTGCATCTGCATCAAGTTCGACCCGACGGGCCACTACTTTGCTACGGGCAGTGCAGACGCGCTGGTCAGCGTGTGGAACGTGAACGAACTCGTCTGTGAGCGAACGTTCTCCAGGTGTGTAAGGCTGCTGACACTGCTGTATCTGTTTCACGTGCGTATCACGTGTGACTCGTATAATATAGTGTAGGGAGAGGCTTAATGTGATTTTATTTATTTCAAGATGATTGAAATTATGTTATCTACTTGTACAATTGTTTGCTCGAAAAATCCGTAATTATTTAATGGGACCACAGTTTATCATCTCAAAATCAAATTATGGTATATGATAAACATAAATTTAAAGATCTAAAGAAATCTCTCTCTTTTTGCGTGCGTGCATGCGTGAGTAGGACAGTAGCTGTTAATGTGTGATGCTGCTGATGTGATTAACTGTTACCATCTCTCTCTCTCTTTCTCTCTGTGCGTGCGTGCGTGCGTATGTGTGGGCGTGTGTGTGTGTGGGCGTGCGTGTGCTTGTGTGTGTGTGCGTGCTGTAGGCTGGAGTGGCCGGTGCGCACCCTGAGCTTCAGCCACGACGGCAAGCTACTCGCCTCCGCATCCGAAGATCTCGTCATCGACATCGGCGACGTGGAAACAGGTACGGCGCGTCTGCGAGCAATGCCGCGCAACTGAAATTTATCTGACGTACATTTCACAACATACTTTGAAATGTCTCATTAACTTTCTCCTAAATGTATGATGTGAACAGGAGTACATGAATCAGTATGTACAGTCGCGTCAGTTAGGAATAGCGGGCAGCCTCACTGCCTCACTGCCCCTCCTCACATTCATCATCTGGTATGTTGCCGGTCTATGTACTACATGAATGTATGGTCAAGCGTTACATGCTGAGGTTTTATAGATATATGAGGACAATGATAATGAGGTGCACGCATGCTGATCTACATGTAATAGCAGAAGAAATGCCACAAATGTCCTGCATAGACATGTGTTTATGCTATGGAGGTGGTGTACTGTATATTTCTTATCAAGGAAAACACCAAATGTCCTTTATAGACAGGTGTCTGTTCTATAGAGCTGGTTTCACTCTATAACTGCTACTCAAAGAAAATGTTGAAATTGACCTCTATAGACAGGCATTCATAGAGGTGACTGTTGGTTAGACCTCATCAGGGAAAAAAATATAATTTATTTTTCGGGGGCTACTTTTCAAGCTCGCGTGCATGAAAATAGCACTCTAAAATTTGGTTTGCATTGAACTCTATGCAAATTTACGGGGGCTCTTTTTGGCATTTCGGGGGCTAAATCGCCCCGAGCCCCCGTGTATTTTTTTCACTGGACCTCATATACAGTAACTAGATAGCATATTCTCCCATTGCCACAATTCGAACAGATGAGGTCATTCGGTCGCCACATTTCAGAAGCAATGCCTGCCATTCATGAATTCAAATGTCGATCAAGCATCAGTTATAAACGTGTTAATATAACAGTGTGACAAGGTCCAACCTCCTCATTGTCAAACCCTGCTTATAAGTAGACTTTTATGTCGATCACTACATAGACCGAAAATTTATCTGGAGTTTATTTCGCAACATACTTAGAAATATCTCATTAACTTTCTCTTAAATGTATGACATGAACATGTGTACATGAATGAGAGATCTCTGTACTCCTGATATGATATCAGACGTGATCACCCAGCTGATCAATACATAGACCGAAACTTTATCTGGAGTAGACCTACATTTCACGACGTTATTAGAAATGTGGACAGGAGAACATGAACGAGAGAGAGGTTTCACATTCATGCACTCCTGATATAATATCAGACATGATGGCTCAGCTGCGCCAATTAATTATGTTAAATTATTAAAATTATGCCACAGGTGAGAAAGTCGCCGAAATCGCCTGCGAATCGCCCACGTTCACCGTTGCCTGGCATCCTAAGCGCCACCTGCTGGCATTCGCCTGCGACGACAAGGACAAGTACGACCGAGATCGCGACGCAGGCACGGTGAAGTTGTGGGGATGCGAGTGAGTAGCGTGGCGCCACCTGCTGTCGGGCGATGTAAATTATGTAGTCGCGGTCGCGCACGGATGTAGCGTGGTTGAATCATGTGTCATGTTTTATTGTCGCGAGTTATTTCTTGTCGTGAGCGTCGTCGTGAAAGAAAGCGGAACAGCCTGTTCAGTTACTACACTAGGACTATTTTTATTGCTGTGACGTTGAAGCGTTCATAAATAGAAAAATAGACATTTTGTACAAAACGGCACCTATGTTCTAGGCGTTTGAATAAATGTTTGATATAACAGTATCAAAGGGTTTTAATGGGGGACAGATACGCATCTTAATCTCTGAAGGCGTTCGCAAACGCGTGCACGCTCACACACATGCATCATTATATAAAATAGATTTTTTATTTTTTTATTCAATACTGTACAAGATTTAAACAAACGTATTTACATGGACGAATCTACAGGGCACACCAAACGAGTCGATAACAGTTTCGTGCGCGTTGTAACGATTGCAGCAACTCCCTCATGTGAAATCAAGACACACGTACGGGCGTACCTGCTTCATAAGACGGTGGCAGCGATTGGTGTGTGACTGAATCACTTACTGCTGCTCACGCAAATCAGCTCTGTCGCCCTGTGTCGTGTCCCCCATTAAAGCACGAGAGATATGAGCTAGATTATATAATAGTTATAACAATACAGAAGGATACGGTTGGCTAGCATGTGGCAGTGGTGGGCCATTGGTCTGCGAATTGTCACAGACTGCAGAAAAAACGTGATGAAAATTATGGATTGGAAAAAAAAAACAAGCTGTTTCGACCGTCAACACAAAAAAGTTTAGCGCTTTTCCGTCAGTTCCCGCGGCAACATTACGATAACAGCGAGGCTGAAAAACAACGTGATAATAACATTTAAAAAGGTCCGGGAAAAATTTATTGTATCAAATTTCTCGCTAAACTTTAATGTGCCTGCGGTATTGATTGTCTTCCGCCGCACCAGATGCAGCAAACACGCCCCTGCCACCACCAGGGGGAGCAGTGCGGCGGCTGTCGAACCCTTGTCGGATTCAGTTCGGTTTCGTCTGCTTGCTAGACCAGTTGATTGGTCGTTGCAGCCGGGATGGGCGTGATCTTCCCGCGGCGCGAGAGGTAACGTGCCGTGCGTCTGTCGCTCCCCGGGAAGGGTGGCCGGCCGGTCCAGGTGTAGACCCTGGTGCTGCCACCTGCAGGTGTAAAAATTAGTTAATGTCTGGAATGAGGTTTCTTGTCCATAGAATGAAACTAAATTCTTAGTAAATGTATCTAGATCATGGTATGTTTACATGCTATGAAGTGATTGTGAACTGGATTGTAGTGTACTCTGTAAAATATCTTGATTCGTCGTATGTAAAGACGTTGGTAATTTTAACAGAGTGGCACAGCTGGCTAACCTTCTGCCTCACGGTAGTTAAGTCTTTAGACAGTTTCTCGATAAAACTGGAAGGAACCATTCCACGTTTGCCATTCACCTGCAAATTGAAAGTGAACTGGTAAGTAAACACTAACCAACACATACACAAATCTGCAGGTAAGCTCCCAAGCACCCATTGCTAGCTGACACTGACAGGTCATTCGTACGACTTGATTGGTCAGAGCAAAAATCACGTGATCATAACCAGAGTTATCCCACAGTACAACCACAACTTTAGTATATAATTTATCTATTAAAGTTATGGTAGTTGCTCCGTGTACATAATTTTTCCACAAATTTTCCCGGATCCCATCATGATATGGATTCTTTATTCGTTATTGTTTTCGGCAGATCACAATGAAGTAAATAAGATCAGACTGATTCAGCCATACAAACACTTCCGCAGTAAACCACGACAACATATACATAATTTATTCATTACCATATTAAATTTCCCCAATCTTTTCCCCAGAGATTCTGCACAAGTAAATCTCGCAAATTTCCCTATAATCGCCCCACGCGACGGAGCTACTCTATTCTTTACCTCTGCTCTGTAGAATCCGTCAACCCTCATCGGACCGTACGTGATGACAGCGTCACCTTCTAGCAGCTGTAGCTGCCCATGTGGCTCGTTGCTGCCGGACTGAATCGCTGGATCGTAGTCATAGATTGCCAAGCACTGCAATCACATGGACAACTCACAATCACACGGCCTGCATACTAGCATATATATATATACATATATACTCGAATTTTCGGACACCTATGTATACCAATATATGCCTGTATTATTTATATATACTTGTATTACTTGTATATACTATCTATATGTCTCTTTATTATCTATCTATCTTACTATCTATCTATCTATATATATATATATATATATATATAATATATATAGGTGTACTGTATGTATGTACCGGTGATGCTATCAAGCATTATCCCATCTTTCCAACCATTGAGGTGGCTGCCGTGTGGGACCTCCGGTATGCCCTCAAAGCACGCGATCCCGTGCTGGGGGAGCATGGCGCGCGCGCCTGGTGAGACAGCATAGAGGCTGATGTGCTGGCAACTGGTGCAGGTCGAGGTCGCACGCCAGGCAAGGCCTTCTCAGCGTTGGCGCCGCACAGTGCGTCCCTGGTGCAGGCTGCCGTTCCAGGCTGGGTAGATCTGTGTGATTAATCACCTGGTCAATCGTGAGATACTTGCCTGACAACATTGTTAGACGCCTTTTCATCTAACCCTGTCTGACCCCCGAATACCCCCACTACTGGCACTGAAATGTTGTCTGAAGCCCCCTACGCCGGCGGACACCTGGCGTCCTGAGTCACGGTGCACTCATGACTGAGACATTGTTAAAAACGTTTATAACAAGCGGTTAAGATACACTCGAGGAAAAAAAATCATTTTAATTCCCAGATGTATCCAAAATCTAGCGACGTATCAGTCTGACGTGCACTATTCTGCTCTCTTTGACGCTCGGCTCCATACCTATACTCTCCGCAATTCTCGTAACACTCAAGAATATGTGCTGTGACAATTCACACATCATACAGCAGTGTACGCAGCCTTGTATTCAGCCACGCGCGCCGCTCACACGTCAGCGCGGCGGCATGCACAGCCATCAGAAGGCTGGCGGTTGCTCGCTGTTGGCGATCGCCGGCCCCCCACCGATGCGATGGATCTTCAGTTGGCTACGGCACTTGGCGGCGTCGCTTCCGCCACGCCTCCTAACGTTCACCTGCGGCTTCTTCGGCGGCCTGGCGGGCCCTATTGCGGAGCTGAGGCAGACGTGGGATTCGTGGAATCGCCGAGTCCTGGACCGAGTGTCAGTTGCCGGCTGTCTGCTCCACAACAGCTGCAGCGGTCGTGCGGGAACGAGGTGGTGAGCCATGAGGGATGAGTGCCTGTCTTCCGCGGTTAACGACCGCCTGTAACGATGATCCGTGACGCAGTGCAAATGTCAGACCAGCTATGCCGCACCGCTCACGGGGCATCGCGCGAGTATCCACACATGCGTCACATTCACGAGTGTTATAATACATATCATAGTGTCATAATATTAGATCTATATTATAGCACTCGTGATAATATAACATTTAAGCACGAAGTTATTACTTCAATGTTTGTACTTGCCCAAATACAGTTAATAATAACATCGTGAAACAATGATATAATCTGTGGAATGGCTTATATATTATCTCCAGTTCCCTCGATTCGAATTCCCTAACTTCCACAGCGACAGCACGAAACAAAACAAAAACACGAACAAAATCAAGTAAAACAACCTCCCTACTTTAGCACGGCTACACGGCCCCCCAACAAAATGTATAAATAATGCCTACAGGTGCGGCTGACTCACGGACTTCATGTGATGTACCATGTAGGTAGCCGTGGTAGTCGTGGGTTCCAATCACTCTCACCTCGTCTCCCTTGACGCGTGCTAGCCCTCGGCAGGTGTGGGTGACGGCTGCGGCGACATGGTTGCCGCAAGGGGGATTTTTTTATTTATTTTTGTTTTTTTTTTGATTGATTATATTTTTATTTTGTATTATTGTTTTTATTATTTTAACTGTAGTCTGCTGCGCTCGTAGAGGCGCTGCGGCCACAGTGAAGCTATTCATCGCGTCCGGCAGAGATGTACGCCTGAAGCAATGATATAATAATATTAAATAATTATAATAAAACTATTATTATTTACTAAATCTTTATTGCATGTAATTCAAATACAAATACATGTACTGAAGTTATAAATGATAATATAAGAGATATAAAATACATGTAATAATAATAATAATAATAATAATAAATTAATAATGATAATAATCAGAGTTTTCTCAGACGATACACAGCATGTTGGAACCGGCCCTTGTTTAACAAGTTATGATGTCACATACTCATGGATAGTCACATTTACGGTAAGTTTATTTACTTATTAACTTTTATTATTAACATTATTTAATGTAGTCGTCCAATATCCTTAGTCTGTCACCTGTTTGTAGGCAGCTTTGTGATCAGGGTCTTGCTTCTATCTGCAGGGCTGTCACTACAACCGTCTATGCTTTTGCTTGGCAGTATGATGTCCAGTCCACTTGGCAAGCTGTTTAATTGAAAAGTGTACTTAGAATCTTATTTAAATACTCTGTCACACATAAATTGAGCAAAATCTTGTATGAGATGCTACATAAATACATACATATGTGTAACAGGTTAATTGTGGTGTA